TGTGATGTTGGAGAATTACAACAATCTGCTTTTTGTGGGTAAGAATAGCCTTATTGTAAGATTCCTGATTCATTCTTTGATTTTACCTACTGTGTGTATATCAACTCTCTGACATGTCTAGAGACTCCCAGAATAAGGGAAATTCTGGATACCAACATAAGTTCTTCATTGTGTTTCCTTTACATTTCTCTCCATTCTGCAGAAGAGGATCCAGTATTGTGTTCTGTGTAATCTCTCAAAACATGTAACTGCTTTTAATCAAAAGTTTAACGTTCAAAAAACCTGAATATTCAGAGTAAGAGAATATATTGCCATACCTGTAATAATGGGAGAATTCTAATTTTAATGTTGCATTTCTGTCTTCAATTGTGTGTGAATTTTTAAAGTTCAGAAGTTTCTAAATAGAAAAAGAGCTGTTGGTTGTGAAAATTTTATTATTCCTCATTTATTTAGTTTTTGATCTTTGGTTTCCATGTTTGGTTTTGGTACAGCATGGCTTCTATGTCATGAATTCCATGTCAGTGTAGATTACATAAAGAATTCCTAGCTGACCAAAGCTACACTGTGTTACTCTGTCACAAAACATAAAAAAGAAAATCGAGAACCTTTTTTTTGACTTGATCCTTCAGAGAGCTGCTTTCTCAAAGTCCTGTACTGTTGCATTACCTATTCTTTTTACTTTCTGCAAAGCACAGTGTTTAAATAAGATATAGAAGGCTATAGTTTCCTGTCATTTCACATAGATGAGATTTGAGGTTGTTCTAAGCATCCATGTTATGACTGTGAAACCGGAACTTTGAGATCACTAACTTACATCAGAAAATTTCTGGGAATGTGGTGGTGTATTGTCTTACTCATATACTAATCCCTGTCATCCCTAATTTCATTTTTTTTTCCCAGAGGAACATGGCATGTGTCATAAATATGAGAACATCTTAGATCAAGACTTACAGCATATTGTCCACGAGCATGTGAATATCCACGTGAAGTCTTATAAATATCATGAGCTTGTTAAAATCATTCATGAATCCACCCAAAGTACACCTTATAAACCTAACCTCAGGGATACATCTGTTGAATCATCAAACCCAAGCAGGCTTCAAACTGGAAACAGCAGAGAACCTTGCAAATATAAAAAGCCAGCAAACTGTTTAAATTCCTGGTCTACCATCAGTTTACCTCAGGGAATCCACAGAGGAAAGAAAGAATACAATGGTACTGAGCTTGATAAAGATTTTGACTCTAAAGAAAAACTCACGCTGGAACAAACCAATAATAGAAAGAAACGTTACAAATGTAGTGAGTGTGACAAATGTTTTACCAGGAAAGACTATGTTAGAGTTCATCAGCGAATTCATTCAGGAGAGAAACCTCATAAATGTAGTGAATGTGACAAATGCTTCACCTACAAAGGCTATCTTAGAATTCATCAGCGAATTCATACAGGAGAGAAACCTTACAAATGTAGTGAATGTGACAAATGCTTCACTGACAAAAACTATTTTAGAATTCATCAGCGAATTCATACAGAAGAGAAACCTTACAAATGTAGTGAATGTGACAAATGCTTCACTGACAAAAACTATTTTAGAAGTCATCTGCGAATTCATACAGGAGAGAAACCTTACAAATGTAGTGAATGTGACAAATGCTTCACCCAGAAAGGCTATCTTAGTATTCATCAGAGAATTCATACAGGAGAAAAAGTTCACAGATGTAGTGAATGTGACAAGTGCTTTACCAAGAAATATCCTCTTATAATGCATCAGAGAATACATTCAGGAGAAAAACCTTACAAATGTAGTGAATGTGACAAAGGCTTTACCCAAAAAGGTAGTCTTATTATTCATCAGAGAATTCATACAAGAGAGAAATGTTACAAATGTAGTGAATGTGACAAATGGTTTACTGTGAAAGACAGTCTTAGAATTCATCAGCGAATTCATACAGGAGAGAAACCTTACAAATGTAATGAATGTGATAAATACTTTGCCCATAAAAGCAGTCTTATTATTCATCAGAGAATTCATACAGGAGAGAAACCTTACCAATGTAGTGAATGTGACAAATGCTTTACCCGCAAAAAGAGTCTTAATGTTCATCAGAGGGTTCATACAGGAGAGAAGCCTTTCAAATTAGTGAATGTGACAAATGCTTTTCCCACAGAAGCAATCTTAGAAAACAAAAGAGAATTTATACAGGAGAAAACAACGTTTCAAATATGAATATGACATATGATTTCCCTGAAAATTCAGTCTTCTTATTCATCAGAGAATTCATACAGCAGAGAAACCTTTCTTATGTAGTGAATTTGACAAATACTTTGCCTGCAAAAGCAGTCTTAGAATTCATCAGAGAATTCATGCAGGAGAAAAACCTTAAATATATAGTGAATGTGATGAATTCGTTAGCGAGAAACAATCTTAGCACTCATCAGAGAATGTGTATGGTAGAGAAACTTAACAAATGAAGTGAATGAGAAAAATCATGCCCAAGGGAGATCATCTTAGAGTTTATCAGAGAATATATACAAGAGAGTCCTTATAAATGTAGTAAATGTACAAATCTTTTACTGTTGGTTCATTAAAGAATGCTTACAGGAGAAAAACCTCCGACATGTAATGTATGAAGCTTTCATTTTCCCAAATCTCAGAACTAAGAAAATACCTGGAAATTTTTAGTCAGAAAAAAAGTGTCCACTTGAAAAAAATGTGGCATGTTCTTTATTCAAGCTGTATTGTTTGTAATACTTGAGGCTCCACACTAAAGAATTGTTTATTGTGTATATGAGAAACTTGTGAAAGTGTTTAATTAATACTCAAATCTTCAAAAGTATCCAGGGTTTATGCTGAGAGAAACTGATAATGTGACAATGAAGGAAATATTTCATTAAAGGTTTTTACTTGTTCACTTTCAAACTTGTCATAATGAAGACATAATGGAGAAGCTAGAAGAATATGGAATTGTGTAAAGTTTCCTAGAGTCTAAAATGATCTACTGCAAAGAACAGGTGGGAAATACATGGCTCAAAGTAGAGTAAAACTGACAGCGTTCATATGCTTAACTCAAATTAAGATACGTAGACAAATTGTACTTCTTAAAAGTGGATTTGACAAACTAAGCAACAAATTTTGGATGTTCTTTATCCTATAGATATGCCTATGGATATGTGGTTTGCTTCCAGAGTCAGTATTCATAATCTGTATCATATGATGGTTTTAAATTTCAGGATAACAATTGTCATTGAGTCCCCCGGGGTCTTGTTTCCTAACTCCTTCCCCTGAGTCCTGTATCAAAATCCAATAAAGATCATTGGTTCAACAAGTTGAACTTGATTATTTTCAATTTCCACTTGGGATGAGTTGCATCTTCCCAGAAAAATGTCTCCCACAAAAAATGTACCAAACCCATTAATATTTTCTGCAAACTTGTAACATAAAATGAATATTAGAGCA